CCCCCCTGCTCCAGGCCGGGCCAGTGGAGCCCCGCAGCCGGGTACCTCTCCACGGCGGCATGGACGAGGTGCAGCAGGGCCGTGCAGTCCTTGCCCCCGTTGAAGCCCACGCAGAGCTGGGCCAGGCTGTACCGGTCCAAAGCCTCCTCGATGGTCCGCAGCGCTCCTGCCACCTTCTGTCCCAGGGCCGAGCCTGCCGGGAGGGGACGGTTGGTGCCCGCCCGGGGCCATGCTGCCTCGGTGCTGCCCCAGGGCCTGTGGCACCTCACCCTCCGGGCATGTCTTGTCTCCAGACGCACTGCGGAGCCACCGCCAGCACCGCAGCCTGGAGCCAAGAGCTTGTGCAACCTGGAGGTCTGCACCACGCATGGGACATGGGGGAGCCATGGCACCGCTCCCCCTAATGCACACTTGCGCTCTCAGGACCAGCCGGCCCTAACTCGGGTTACAGGTCCCACTCCCACCTGTGTGGGATGAAGCCCAACACAGCTGCAGCGCCAGCAAAGCCTCAGCACCCTCTTAGCCCCCCAGCACACCAGAACAGGCAAGCTCTGCTCCCAGGCCCGGTCTTCCCACTGCCCCAGCCTTCCTGGGCTGCAGGGTCCATGCAGGAGCAGGGCGGAGGCACCGAGCCATGCTGCAGCACCGCTTCCCTCTACCTGACTCAGCCAGGCCGTAAACCTCCGCGGCTGCCGGCGAGACACAGTCTGTCACCAACGGCACAACAATGCCTGGCGGCAGCTTCTCCATCAAGAAGACATACGCTTCCTCCAGGTCCTGCTCCGACTCCGAGTCCAACGTCAGCTTCACGCGGTAGTAGTTGTTGGCCCAGTCTGGGTAGGAACCCAAGCTGACGCGACCCTGGAAGGCAGCGTCGGCCTCGTCCAGCACAGGTGCGATGAGGATCTCGTCGGCTGCCACGTAGATGGCACGGGAGTGGAAGCGGGTCCGCTCGCTGCGGAAGAGGTGAGCAAGGCCGTCCAGGGCGCGCTCCATCAGCGCCGGGATGCCGGGGAAGATGTAAACGTTGCGCACGCTGACCAGCGGGTACTTGAATGCGCTGCCCGTGCGCCCATCTGTGCCGTAGTTGAGGCAGGAGGACTCGGGGACACGAGCCAGCTTCATCTCGGGGCACTGCGCGTCCGTCTTGCCAAAGAACTTGTGCACCAGGGCCACCAGCTCGGGGTGGGGGGTGACCCTCTCCCCGAAGGCCCTGGCCACGGCCTCGAAGGTCACATCGTCGTGCGTGGGGCCGATGCCCCCCGAGGTCAGCACGTAGGTGAAGCGGGTGGCGAAGGCG